ACAGGAAATTCAGAAGAGGGGAACGTGACAGTGATTTCCATTTTAAATATGGTGAATTCAACATGCCCACTAGAAAGTTCTGATAAGGCAGTTGGTGACCTGGCACTAGATGCAGGAAAGAGTTAGTACCAGATATATAGATGAAGGGGAAGCTAGGGGGCACCGTAATGCACAGAGCACAGGGCCTGGGTTGAAATCCAGCCTCAGACACTTACTAGCTGTGTGACCCTGGGCAAGTCACTTCACCCTGTTTGCCTCAGTTTCCTCATCTGTAAAATGAGCTGGAGAAGGAAATGGCAAACCACCCCAGTATCTTTGCCAAGAAAACCCCAAATGGGGTCATGGAGAGTTGGACATGACGGAAAATGACTGAACTGACATACATCCATCTGCATAGATGCATAAATGAGATCTGGAAGACTGGATATATGTTTAAACTCAGGAGCTGATAAGGTCACTGAGAGAGAAAAGAGTAGGGGGCTCAGGACAGTGTTGAAGAAGACCTTCAGGTAGGGAAAGGAGAGAACAGTGGGAGCCCATGAAGATTTTTGAGTAGGAGAGAGACATGGTCACATTTATGTCTCAGGAGATAAACCAGCTATCCAGATTGGGGAGGGGCAGATCAGGTGAGGAGGTGACAAGAGCCTCCCCTTGGGGAGTGGCCATGGGGGAGGGGAAAAGCTGGCCTATGAAGAAAGGTCATCTTGAGAGAGTTCATCCCAGTTCCTCCTTCCTTGTCCACTGGGATCAACACCCCAGGCAGCTGCTGCCTTGGTCCTGGTCAGGGAGGAGGCTGACTGCTTCTGGGATGCCCCTGGTCAATGGGACTGGGGCTGCAGCTGGCTGGAGTGCTGTGTCCATGGCTGGGTAGGAGACAAGGGTGGTAAGCCATGTTGCCAGAGGCTGGACGACTCTCTTCCAGGCCTGAGTTTACTAGTGCCCTCTCCAGCCCCTAGAATCTTCCGCTGCTGTGTCCACCCTGGGCCAGCAGAGGAACAGCTTAGGGGTGGGCTGGGGCTAGGGAGCAGTGTGGCAGAGGGGCCCCAGGGCCCTGACAGGCACCTGTGCCTCCCCTGAGTGGGACACCCACTCTGCCTTATGCCAGGGCTCTACTCCCACAGCCTGCAGACTGCCTCCTCTGGTGTGCATTCCACAGGGCTGGCCTACTTTCTTGCCAGCGGTGTCCCTTCCCCCACCCCCAAGAGCATTTCTGCCTCACAAAAGCTTATTTTTGGAAAGGGGAAGCAAGCAGGCATCAGGGCCCAGCAGCTCAGCTGGCCCCATCCATGGGAGAAGGCAGCTGTCAGGGGTCCAGACCACCTCCAGTTTCCCATCCACCACTGTTCAGAAGGCCCAGCCTGAGACAGGGCTCCCCTCCAAGAAGCAATGGAGGATAGCTGTGTCCTGGCTGCAGCATGCAGGGCCCTTTCAGAGGAAGATGCGTAAGGCCCACCCTGGGCTAACAGCCCACACCCCGTCCCAGCCTCATCCTCTGCCTCAAAATCTAGCTGAATCCAGGATGTCAGCTGGGGAGGGGGGAAGGGGGCACTTGTGATGCCCCCCAAGAATTCTTCCTCTGTGTTTCTGGTCCTCTTGTTTTGCCCTCCAACCTGACCCTGGAGGCGTCTCTCCTATTTAGGGGATGTTCTGCCTGCCACCCCTGCCCCGCCATACCTCTTCCCTAGAGCGGGTGCCTCAGGCTGCCTCCGGGGCTCAGCTCATTTGGAGAGCAAAGATGGCCCAAGCCCAGCACCCAGATCAGAACAGCAGCTCTGGCTGCTTCCAGGACCCCTCCCTCAGCAATAGCCTCCTGCAGGTGGGGGAGGGGGGAAAGGGTTGCAGGGATTATTAGTCTCACTTGCAAAGCAGGATACTGAGCCCCAGAGGGCCACTGCCCACCCACTGCATGGCCCCCTCCTCTAGGCTTTCCAAGCTGACCTCCCCTTGCCCAGGTGGCCTCCTGGAGGTCTATGACAGTACCCAAACATCAGGGGGAAGCAGTGAGCCAGAGAGGGGCTGTGTGGTCACAAGCAGGTGGGGGGGGCGGATCCCTGAAGTCTTCCAGATCTCAGACAAAGCTTCATTTGCAGCCCAACTGGCCAGACAAGGCTGAATAAAGCTGGCTTGAGCCAGGCACTGGGCCTGGGGTTGGAGCACCTCTTATTCTCCTCCATACTGGGCCAGCTTCAACCAAGGGGTCTGAACCCATTTAGAGGCTGGCATGGACTGTCCCCAGACCGCTTCTTCAGGGCCTTTGCACAACCAATTCCATGACCTCCAGGCCAAGGGTGAGAGTACCTGACCTTCCAAGCTAGGAGCTGTTTGTATACTAGGAAAGCAGCCCCACTTCTGTCAGCCCCTGGACAGCCTGCACCCCCTGGGAGGGCCCGGTGCAGGCTATATCACCCCCTAGCACATGGGGAAAAAAACATGGAGCTAGAGGGAACCATTCAGAAACACCTGTGCTCCCACATGAAGATCAAGGCATTGTGTAAAGACAGCTCCTCGCTAACCAGCCCTGGAGAAATCCAGCTTCAGCAAGTGCTAGGAAGGAGAACACCCTGAAGAGGAAGTTATTGGCTGCCCAGAGCCCCAGCTGCACACCTCTCCAGAGCCTGGGCTTCCTCACAGGGGAGGGGACAGGTGAAGCTCTCTTCAAACGACTGAGTCTCTGTTTGGCCTTGGCTCCTGGAACTGTGGCCCAATGTCACATGGAGTTTTCCTTGGAAACACTGAACTGAGAACTTGGGACATTTCTCCACCTCCAGGATCCCCTTGACCTTTTCTCTGACTGGCCAAGAGCTTTGCCTCCCCTGTGTAGAATTCTCACATTGGCACTGCATGTGCCTTTATGCTTTAAGTGCATTTCTTGGATGCCCCAAATTGTTGGGCTCTCTCTTTTAAACCCTATCCCAACATTTTCTCTTTTATGGGAGAGCTTAGTCTGTTTACCTTCAAGGTTACAGCTGTTAGGTCTTTGTTCTCCCAATGGCAGACAGGCTGGCACTCCAAGGGAAGCTCAGGGGGAAGGTGTAGAGAGGACCCTCAGTGGTTGGGCCCCCAAATTCAAGGGAACAGCCTGGAGAGAAAGGAAAGTGGTGGCACATGACTGCTGTTAGAGAAGGATGGAGAACTCCTTGCCCTCTTCCCCTGCCCCTCAAGCCCTGCTGATGCACAGGGCTCTTAACCTAATTGGAAAGGCCTTGAACGGTGGGTAGGGCTGGCTTCATGCCCTCAAATGTCAGAGGTTCCCATAGGTGTCTCATTTGCCATGCTCTGCCCTATCCCTCTTCCACCAGCAGTCTGCCCACTGGTGCTTGGAGTGCGCATCACATATCTATTCAGTGCCACAAAGAGTCCTTCTGTCCTCAGCCTTGTTCAAACCCCACCTGGACAGTTTAGGAAAGACAGCAATGAGCTGGGAAGTTTTCAGGGGATGGAAGAACTGGAGATCAGGATATATAAGGGCCCACTGAGGAAACTTTGGATGTTCAGCCGGGGGAGGGGAAGCCATGAGAGCTATGCTCAAGTGTCAGAAGGCTGTCAAAGGTGAACTAGCCTCTCTGCTTAGCCCAAGGGCTAAGACCAATAGCAATGGGGAAGTTACCAAGAGGCCAATTTAAGCTTGATATCAGAACAAGCCCTCTGACAATTCGGGTTGTCCCAGAGTGGGAGAGGCTACCCCTGGAGGTGATGTACTCCCTGGCTCCATTCCTTGTTTGGTCTCCCTCTCCATTAGCCGCCAGCTCTCTGTGATGGGGCAAAATGAGGGCCCTGGGGGGCAGAGGAAGGGAGGACCACCTCATCTCCCTTTTCATCATCCTCCTCTTCAGCCCAGGCCTGGGGCATCTAACCCATCGATCATCTAGCTTGACTCCTGGTTCCCTCTTGACCCCAAATCATGTTGGCTAGAAGGCTGCCTCAGTTTCTCTTATGATGGAGGCTGTGGGTCCATCTAGGATCTGGGGCCAGAATGTGGCCACAATATGGGAATTAGGGTCAAGGGATAATTCAAATCTTAGCCCCCTTATTTACTTTCTCTGTGAATTTGGGAAATCACCTTCCCCTCTCTGGGAGGAAAGTTTGCTGGCCCCTTTGCAAAAAGAGGGTGTTGGACCAGGCAGCCCCCTCAGATCACTTCCACCTCCAGATCCTATGATGGGACAAGACCTGGTGTGGTGAGGTGGGTGAGGGGGGTGAGCAGGGCTCCAGGCTCACGGGTACAACAGCCAAGGCTGGGGGTAAATGGCAGCCCCTCCATCACACTGTTCTCAGGGCTCTATGCAGCTTCCACATCAGATTGTGATTCTGTGGCCACATCTAATCCCTAACCATTCTAAAGGAGCACTCTTCCTTGTCTCCACTCAGTGCTGGGAGGAAGAAAGGAAGTAAAGAAGGAAGGAAAAGAAAGGAGGGAGGAAGAGAGAAGGAATAGAGGGAGGGAAGGAGGGAGGGAAAAAAGGAAGAAAGGAAGGAAGGAAGGAAGGAAGGAAGGAAGGAAGGAAGGAAGGAAGGAAGGAAGGAAGGAAGGAGGAAAGGAAGGAAGGAAAGGGAGGGAGGGAGGAAGGAAGGAGGGAGGGAGGGAGGAAGGAGGGAGGGAGGAAAGGAAGGAAGGAAAGTGAGGGAAGGAAGGAAGGAGGAAGGAAGGAAGGAAGGAAGGAAGGAAGGAAGGAAGGAAGGAAGGAAGGAAGGAGGGAGGAGGAAAGGAAGGAGGAAGGAAAGAAGGAAGGAGGGAGGGAGGAAAGGAAGGAAAGAAGGAAGGAAGGAAGAGGGAGGGAGGGAAGGGAAGAGAGGGAAGAAGAGAGGAAGCAAGGAAGAGAGGGAGGAAGGAAGGACCCAATGTGTAAATGAATGAATGAATGAGTAAATGAATGGGCCCAGGAGGGAGCAGTGCAGGAGTTTGGCCATGAGGCCTCTCTAAGTGTGCTCTGGAGGAAAAAGGCTGCTAGTGTGATATACTAACAGGCTTCCCCCCGCCCCTTCTTGTTTTCTCTGTTCAGGTGGAGCGGGAGATCGCCATCCTGAAGCTCATAGAACACCCACATGTTTTAAAGCTGCACGACGTTTATGAAAATAAAAAATATTTGTAGGTATTACTGGGTCCAGGAGCTGGGGCAGGAGGAGCTGGGTGGGGCTGGGTGGGGCTGGACAGGGCCAAGCCGTAGGTGAGAGGTCACCTCTCCATTGAGGAAGGAGGTATATGGGAGGGGGTTGTAGGGAACTCCGCCTGCCCAAGGCCTTTAGGGGAGGCAGGGATGGGACAGATCACTTCCTCCTGCTCTGCCCTGCGCTACTCCCCAGGTCACAGTGGGTCTGCTCAGAAACTGCTTCAGGGCAGACAGGTGCTTGGTTCCCCATGTGGCCCCCTAGAAGTTCATGATAGGCCACTGGGTCTCCAGAGCTGTGACCTGTAGAACTCATACCCAAGTGGATCCCTGGAAAGACCCTCACCCTTTGAGTCTCATTCTGTTTGTCGGCAGCAAGGCCTGCCTGAGCTCTGGGCTGAACCTCTCCAAGGGGCAAAATGTGAGGCCTCCTCCAGGCCTGATTTATATGGGGATGAGAGGACATCAGTTCTTGGGTGGTGATTGCAGGCTCCCAGGGGCCAGGGAACTTTGGGGATGCCTTGATATCAAAAGGGAGACTGCTGTGCCTCAAGACTGGAGAAGTTGGTAGGCCAGATAGCCAGCCCCAGCCTATACGGCTCTTGACCCACAAAGAGCTGGAGAGAGAGAGGAAAGAGCTTGGGGGCTTGGTCTGCAGCCGAGAATGTCACCAGAGGCAAAGCCTTTCATGAGAGAACAAGGACTCAGGATCAGGGCACTCCCTTTTCCTCACTCCCTGTGACATGAGGTGTTCCCTTCCCTCCTTTTGCCTGCCTCAGTGGGTGTGTGCATTCCCAAGGTTGTCTCCTGCAGTGTGGGGGCTGAGCTAGAACCTTCAGGCTGTTCCCCTGGCACTCATTTGGCCCATGGGTACAGCCCTTCCTTGACAGCCATATCAAGGCTGTGTCCCACTTTGTTGGTATGAGACACAGGCCCCCAGGCATGGCCTGAAGGCTGGGGGCTGGGGGAGGGAGCAGGCCTTGGCCTCCCATCCTCTGCCTCCTTGGGTCCCAGATTGGGCTAGACAGAGAGCACAGCTCCCCCACTGATGACTGGTGATTATTGTCCAGGAGTTTTTCCTGCCTCTGGCTAACCAGGGAAATCTGGAAAGAGTAGGGCAGGAGTCAGGCAGGAGGGAAGGGGAGAAGGGATGCCAGGCCCCAGAAGACTGCAGGGACAGTCAGGAATGAGAGCTAAGGTCAGGCTACAGGGTTCAGGATCTGGGAGAAGAGAAGGGTCCTGGGCAGCTTGCGAGTCCAGGCTGATGCTGTTATTATAGAGCAAAGCCCTCATGCCCCAAGTAATACATTATCTGCAAGAGCCCTTGAAAGCTTCTCTTCCTCTTCTCTCCCTCCCCCAGCAGGGTCTGTATCACAAGGTCTGTCCAACTGCCCTCAGCTGTCCCACAACCCCTAAAGAATCCTCCCATTACCCTGGCCATTCTGGTTTATATTCATGCTGGATTAGGGGGTGGGGCAGGGAAGAAAAGGAGGGAGGAAGGAAGGAAGGAAGGAAGGAAGGAAGGAAGGAAGGAAGGAAGGAAGGAAGGAAGGAAGGAAGGAAGGAAGGAAAGAAGGAAGGAAGGGAGGCAGGGAGGGAGAAGGGGAAGAAAGAGGGAGGGAGGCTGGTTTAGCACCTCCTAGTCTCCCCAGTGCCAACATTGCACTTTGTGCTCAAAGGCCAGCCTTGCAGTGGCCTGGACAGCTGATGAATCCTGGACAATGAGAACACTATCCCAGACTCCACTGGCTTCTAGTATATTCTGGAGCTTCCAGTGCCCAGGATACCCTCCCTGCCCAAGACAGGGAACCTCTAGGGTCCCCCCCAGCCTCTTTCCTATTTGGGAGCCAGCCTGGATCTCCATGAAAAGAAGCCTCTCTCAGCTAGGCACTCTTGGCTAAGCATCCTAGGTGCTCCCCAGGGGAGCTGACTACTCTAAAGAGGGTGTTTTCCCCACATCCCTTGTGTTGGTACAAAGGATGAGAAGGCTGCCCCTTGAGAGAAGGGCAGTACATGCATGAGCCCTCTGTGGTCCCCTGAGGCCAGCAGCCAGAGGCAGAGGTCACCATCAGGAGGGCAAACCCAAGGCCTACCCCCAGGCCCACTGCAGCTGACCACTAAACAATAGGACCCCGGCTGCCGGCCCTGAAGGTGAGCATGTTGGAAGGACAGGCTGATGGCCCGCACTCCTCAGCAAAGCTGGACAGTGATGCCTTCCTGGTTCTATTAGCCTGGGGGAGGTAGAGAGGCAATATCCTTAGCACAGGTCCTTAGCCATCCCCATGATGCCTAGAGCCACATCCCAGGACCCTTGCTACACCTGCTTGGTCTCCGTGTTGCTGACCAGCACTGTTGGTCAGAGCTTCCCATTCCCACTGAGCAGGCTCTGAGAGATGCAGAGACACATGGGAACCTTAGGGTAGAGAACCATGGAGAGCTCCCAGAGCTTGCTTCTCCTGGGCTCTGCTTCCTGTCTTGTCTGTCATGGCCCCTGGCCCCTGAGACCAGGCCCTGGCAGCACTCAAGAGGAAAGATCTCAGGCCCCAAGGAACCAATGCCTCCTGTTGCTGGCCCTTCCATCCACCTGGGCAGCTGGCAGAGAGCAGAGCTGGGCGCCTAGACCCCCAGTCAGAAGGGGAAGGTCCCCAGATCACCCCAGGGCCACACAATGGACTTTCAGCCAAATGCAGATTTCAAAATTCCTGGCCGGCCTCTGAATTGACAGAGCTCTTGAATAATGGATCAGCTGGGCCTCACTTGTCTGATCAATAGAGAAGGCAGGCTACCAAGCCATCAGAGAATGACCCAGAGCTGGCCCTTTGGGATGTGAGGGCCAGGGGAAGGAATGGGGAAGGCTGGAGGCCTGGCGTCCCAGGCGCCAGAGGAAGGCGGAGAGCCAGCTCCCAGTGACACCATCTACTCGCCCTGGGCCCCACACTTTGCCTCATCCCTTTCAAGTCTCCCATCCGCCCAGATGTGGACAGGATTCCCAGAGTCCCAGACAAGCAGGGCTTGAGTTTGGGGCTGGTCCTGGTCCTGGGTCTCAGGTAATCCCAAGCAGCAGGAGAAGCCTGGGAAGGGAGTCTGAAGACAGCCTGTACCCTCTGCAGATCCTGCTGGGGTTACCCCTCCCTTTGGGCTGAGGAGAGGCAGGCCAGGACCCCGTCCCTGCTTCCTAGGACTGACACTGCCCCTCTCCTTGGGAGCTTCTGGCCAAATGCTGAAGAAGTGGACCTGGTGTTGGGCTGCCAAGGTGGAGAGGAAGGAAGGGCACAGCAGCAGCCCTGGAAAGGCAGGGGGAAGACGCCCAGCCTTCCTCATCCTGCTTTGCTCTGAGCTCCTGGGAGTAGCCCAGAGGAAGCTGGCAAGGCAGTGACCCTCTGGGACCCAGGGCTGGGATGTCAGGCATCCTTTTGGAGGAGAAGGGGAGCACCCTGGACACAGCTCAGAGCCCTGCTGCTGCCAACTGAGACCAAAGGACTGGCTGGGCCTAGACTCCTGGTATCACACAGACCCACAGGGTAGGGCGCAGGCATCCTAGTGGGGCAGGTACCCATCCCAGGCACTGTTTGAGAGCCCAAGCCTTGCAGCCTGGTGGAAAAGGAGATGAGGGGAAGGAGACTAAGTCCAGGGGGAGTCTGGGGGCCCAGAGGACAGGGCAGCATGTGGGGGGGGGTGCAGAGGCTAATCAAACCTGGCATCTTCCCCACAAGATACTTGGTGCTAGAACATGTATCGGGTGGTGAGCTCTTCGACTATCTTGTGAAGAAGGGGAGGCTGACGCCCAAGGAAGCCCGCAAGTTCTTCCGACAAATCATCTCTGCTCTTGACTTCTGCCACAGCCACTCAATATGGTGAGCGGGGTGGGAGGATGGGCCCCAAGGATGCTGAGTCCTGCTCCTCTTCTCCCCGAATCTCTCCTGTCATCTCCCTCCTCCCAAGATAGGGAGCAGGCTTCCCCTGGCCTATTTCTCTAGGTGGCATTGGCTGGCAGCCTTCTGGGGCTTTCCTCCCAGCCCAGGCCCCTCAGGCCCAGGGATGTGGGGACAATGGCCTCCACTGGTCTCCAATTTTCTCCTCCCCCAGAAGGGCTGCCGCCTTCTGGAGCTCAAGGCTTCCAGCCTGGGCCACTCGAGAAGGCTTTGCCATGCCTGCCAGAGCTTTCTAGACTGGGTCTCTCTGGTGACACTGTGCCATACCGTCTCCATCCTCTGATGCAGCCCAGCCTGGACCAAGCCATCCCCCTCTCACTCACCCAAAGGGTTCTGGGGGCAGATCTGTGTCCAGGGAGCCAGTATAAGCTAGTCTGCCCCCAAGCCTGGTTTGTTTGGAGGACACTCTCCAAAGCCACTGGCAACTGGGGGTGGGGGCTGCAGTTGTCAGGAGCAGGCCAGCCAATGGGTAGTGGTGGGGAGGCTGGCCCTAGTAACAGAACTGGCTGCTCCAGCCTTTTCCAGGGGGACAAGGCCTGGCCTGAGAAGAGGAAGTAGAATGCTTCTTGTCGGGGATGATAGGGGAGCTCCCAAGACCCCCACCCCACCTCAGTCAGAGAGAACTGGCTGCTCTAAGGGAAAGAGGCAGCCCCTGGCCAGCCAGGAGACTTCCAATTGGCTGGCTGTGACATCACCAGTCTGGGCTGCCATTGGCCCCCATCTGTGTGTGGTTTTCTGTGTCTCTGTATGGTGGGGAGTGGGCCCTGGGGGGTTCTGGGGTAGAAAGCAACAATCAGATAAACTCACCACTTTCAGGAAGCAGATCCCTAGGACAAAAGATCTATACTCAGACTCTGCTAAGCTGATAGACCTTGGGACAGCAGCTGTCAGCCTTCACTGAGATTGAAGATAAGGATGGGGATGGGCATGGGTGGAGGAGGGGAGCAGCCTGCCCTGATCAGCAGGGTCTCTGGGGTCCAGGACACTCATCCTGGCCCCAGGCTCAAGCACCCAGGCTTCCCCTGCCCCGCCCTGCAAAGAGTGCCCAGGCCTGGGGAGATGAGCTGCCACTCAGCTTCCTTAGCTGTCTTGTGCATCCTCTTGCGCTCAGAGTCTGGGAGAGGAGGCCAGGAAGGCTTCTGCCAAGCTCAAGATGCCGGGTCACCTGCATAGAGGACCTTCTCATACGAAGAGCCTGAGATAACTCCATGGGTGCCTCCCCAGCCCCTGGCCTCTGTTCCCCTTTCCTTCCTTTCCTTAGCCCTCCTCCTCCTCCTTTGTTTCACTTGTTCCGATCTAGAGTACTGGCCTCAGAGTCAGGAAGACCTGGGTTCAAATCTTACCTAGAATACTTGCTAGCTGTGTGATCTTCAGCAAATCCCCTGATTTCTCTGTGCCTCGGTTTCCTCATCTGTAAAAGCAGGGGTTGGCCTCATCAGTCTCCAAGGCCCCTGCGGCTCCATGTCTAGGCTCTTAGGAGCCTGGCTTGCCTGGTTCAGGCTGAGCCAAGCTCCTTTGCCTCAGTCTCCCCTGTGGGGCTCTGAGCTGGGGTGAGTCCCAGGAGTACATCCGCTTTCCCTCTCCTCAGCCACAGGGACTTGAAACCCGAAAACCTTCTGCTGGACGAGAGGAACAACATCAGAATAGCTGACTTCGGGATGGCGTCACTGCAGGTTGGGGACAGCTTATTAGAAACCAGCTGCGGGTGAGTGGTGCGGGTCCCCAGAGCTGGGCCCTACCTAGACCCACACCAGGGTTTCGGGGTCCCCTCGAGGCTGTGGCCCGGGGACCAGTCCCAGCCAGAACGTCCTGCCCAAGAACCTTCCCATGCCCATCACAGCAGCCTCAGGCTCTAGTCTGTTGGGTGTTGGTGCCACCTCCTGGCAAGTTCTTGGTACTGCAGCCCCCAGTTACACTTCATCAGGGCTGAATGCAGCTGCCAAGGAGATGGGCTGGCCCTTGCAGGATTCCAGACTCTGGTGCAGCGTGTGTGAAGGGTGGGGAGGGGATTACCAAGGGAGAAGGGCCACAGTAAAAGCAGGATCGACCAGCTTCCTTTCAAAGGTTGTCCTGGTTCTCAAAGAGCAAAGAGAATAACTTCTGCAGAGACCAATCAATCAATCACTAAGCATTTATTAAGCACCTACTGTGTACCAGGTGCTGTGCTAAGCAATGGGCACACAAAGACAATGACCCCTGCCTTCACAAAGCTCACCTTCTATCGTGGTGGCAACCTGGACATGCATAGGCACAGTCACCCCTTCCACAGCGTGACTTTCCCCACGGCAGTATTGACATATTGAGGGTCGGCATAAGAAACTCAATGGGAATTTGTGGGGAGAAGCCACAGATAACACAGAAAAGCTTTAGAAACTCAGAAATGCACAAAATAGATGTATAGTGTTGTATAATGTCAACATATTTTATCTTTTAATACTGTAATAATTCAGACTTCTTCTCTGGTATGAAAGGAGGACCAACACGCTTTACAGATTTTCCAGATCGTGGGGGCACCATGCCCCAAGCTCCCATGATGTGAAGAGATAACTCTACCTATTCGATAGCTACAAAGTGACTGGGGCGGGGAGGGGCGGGGTGCGGCGGGAAGGTCCTGGAAAAGGAAACACATAAACTAAGTCTTGGAAAAAGCCAAGGATTCTAACAGCGAGAGGTAAAGGCTTGCCTCCTTGGCATTCCTCACAAAAGCAACAGGGCAGGAAGTGGGGGCCGATGAACTTGACTTTGATTCCTGACACCCACAATTCTGGGATCCTAGAGAGGGCTGGCTTAACATGGCACAAGAGAGCGGGGATTACCACGGCTGAGCAGGACAGGCTGAGCTAGCCTAGCCTCATTTCTTCTTTGGACAGGGTGACTAGCCTAGTGGATGGGGGGATGGGCAGTAGCTGTAGCCACTAGACTTTACCTAGATCTCAGCAGATCCCATGATAAGGACTGCATTTGATTCTTGGGGGGAAAGTGGAGCCAGATGGAGCAGACCACAATCAGAGAGACCTCTGGGCTAGTTTAGTGGCCAGAAGGAGTAATCCTTCATTGTTTGATGTTGGTTTGGGAGAAGGTCTCCAGGGGAATACCCCGGGGGTCTGAGCATGGGATTTAGCACTTTTATCTGTGACTCGGATAAAGGCCCATGTTGTATTCTCACCAAATTTATGGGTGACACCAAGCTGGGAAGGATGGCTAACTCAGTGGAGACAGGGTTCAAAAATGCCTAGACAGCCAACATCACTGGGCTAAGAGGATGAGACTTAATAGGGACAAATGTGAAGGCCACCTCCTGGATTCAGAAAGTCAGCTTCTGACATACAAGGCAGAGGAAGCATATCTAGACAGCAATCTGTCTGAGAGGGATCTGGGGACCTTGGAGGCCTGGAAGCGGAATATGAGTTCCCATGTAACCAGTCTTAGGCTCCACCCAGATGGGCAGAAGGCCTTGGTTATCCTGCTCTGCTCAGACAACATTGGGAGTGTCGTGTGTTCGGTTCTGGTGCCGTAATCAACAAAAGACATTGATTGACCAGAGATCACCAAGTCCACCAAGAAAGGGAAGGGCTGGCTCCAAGTTCTTTGCTCGGGAAGGGGGGGATAAAGGATTGTGATGTTTAGCCTGGAGAAGAGTGACATGGGCATGGGGAGAGGTGGCGATGGCTGCCCTCAGCATTTGATGGGACGTGCTGGGGAGGAATATTCAATTTATTCTGCTTGGCCCTCGAGAGCAGAGCCAGGAGCATAGAAGGTGGGGTAGGTGCAGGGAGACAGCTCGTTGATGTCAGGAAAAACTTCCCAGCAATCAGCACTCTCCAGGGGTATTGGCCCTCCTCTCTATAAGAAGTCTTCAGATAAGTCAAGTCAACAAGCATTTATTAAGCACCTACTGTATGCCAGGTACTGTGCTAAGCTCTGGGGATACAGTGAAGGGCAAAATCACAGTCCCTGCCCTCAAGGAACTCACAGTCTAACAGGAGAGACAACAAGCAAACAACTAATGTACAAACAAGATCCAGGCAAGGAAGATGGGGAATAAGCAGCAGAGGGGAAGCATGGGCTTTAGGAACATCCGGAAAGGCTTCTTCTAGAAAGCGGGGCTTAGATGGGCTTTGATGGGGCAGGGGAGATGAGCAGCCATTCCTCTGAAACAACACTCCGGAACAATCTCGAGTCAGGAGAGCGAGGAACAGCAGGGTCCAGAGCAGAGTACTGGAGTGGGGGGCAGGGTGGAGTAAGGAATGGAAAGGCGAGAAGGGGGAGGCTATGAAGGGCCATGGAGCCCAAATGGAGAGGGCTGCGCTTGCTCCTGAAGGCCACTGGGAAGCAGTAGCATTTCTTAAGTCACAGTTGTGGTCCTCCATGCTTTGAGGACCAAGATGACATCAGCATTTTGGGGTTGGAATAGAGTGTGTCCCACTGTGGCTGGTGAGCCCAATACAAGCTCAGAAGGCTCTGCCACAGGTCAGGGGAAAGGGAATGACTCCACCATACCTGAGCTTTAGGGAAATCACTTTGGTGGCTGAATGAAAGATGCACCTGAGTGGGGAGAGACTGAGGCAGGCAGACCCTGCCCCCCAGCAGCTACTGCAGCAGTCCAGGTGATGTACCAGTGTGTGGGCAGGGTCAGAGGAGAGAAGGGGGTCTAGATGTGACATGCTATGAATGAATAAAGCGTTTACTGTTTACGGTGTACAAAGCGCTGGGATTTAGAAGAAAAGTCCCTGCTCTAAGGGCTCACATGCTATGGAAGGAGAAATCACCAGGCTTAGCACCAGCTTGGATGTGTGGGATGAGGAGCCTGGGAGCCTGGAGGATGGCGGTGCCCTCCACAGTAAAGGGAAAGCTAGCGAAAGGGAAGGGTTGGGCTGGGGGAGAGGAAGGGTCCATTTTTGGACATGCTGAGTTTTACATGTCTATGGGACGTACACATTGAGATGTCCAAGAGGCATGTGGCAACCCTTGTCAAGGGTGTTCTGGGGGGAGGGCTCCAATTCAGGTCTTGGCTGAGGCCCCTCCAGCTCAGAGGTCTAGCGCTCCTGCTCCCTTCTCTTCTTGCTTTCCCCCTGGGCTCCCTAAATCCTATAGACATGCAAGCAGCTTCATCTACAACCACTGGGCACAGCAGCCAGCCGCCTTCCTGCTCCAGCTGGGAAAGTTTCAAAAGCCCCCCCTCCATGTGTGCCCATGCACACACATGCACACACATACACACAGGCATACACACACAGATGGGTCAGGGAAGGATAAAGGGGGCCTATCTGTCCCTCCCCTCATGTGAGGGGGGCTCAGACTCTTCTTCAGGGGCCACTTCAATAGCCCTGGCGAGGCATGTCCGGTGGTTGCTGCCTCACTGCACTGAACCTCCTCTGTCTCTCCTAGGCCCCAGCCACCTCAGCCGCACTGAGCCTTGGACCCTCACCCCCTGAAAACTGTGGCAGCTGAGGGTAGGGCCTCAGGGCTCTTCATTCCCAGGGCCTCGTAGTGGGGAAAATGAGGGCTGGCTCTTCCAAAAGCCAGAGCTCTCTCAGGCCACATCCATGTTTCTTCCTCAAATGGGTCTAAGACAAGGCGGGGCTGGGTCTGCCTCTCAGTCCTGGGGGCCCTGGAAGTCTGGACTGCATCTTCTGTAGCACACAAGCAGGAATCTTAGAAGGCTTTCCCTGAGCCACCCGTACCACAGGGCAGCCTGTCCACCCCCAGGAAAATATGGGCCATGGCTGTGTGGTCAGCGTGGTGCAGTGGGTGTGAGTCGGAAGCTCTGCCTTCACATCCCATGCTCTTCATTATGTGTTTGCCCTTGTCCTTGTCCTTCCTCTCTCAGAGATGCCTTAGTTTCCCTATTTCTAATTGTGGACAGTACTACCAGGACCACTCCTTCCATGGTTTGCAAAATAATGCATTAGCTGAAAGGGAACTGTTAGCTTCAGGGGAGGGGCCACCTCCCTCCCCTTCCTGCCTGCCTTGCCCTCTGCCTCCCTGGTCTCCTAGGCAGGTGATAGCTTCATTCAGGAAAGGAGCCTCAAGATGCCCATAACTTTCCGTTAAAGAATGGAAGCCACCTAGCCACATCCATCCATTTGCCCACATTAAGTACTGCTGAAATGTCTCTGCATTTTCCCCATCTCTTTTCTCCTATGACTGGAAGGCAAGAGGAAACCTAGTGCCCTGGCCCTGCCTTCTCCACCTTTTGGAACCCACAGCCTCTACCTTGGAGAGCCCTGTTCTGGTGTCTGGGGAGCAGTGGTTGGGGCCAGGCCTGGCATGGTTTCAAGGGGCTCTACCAGGGTAGGAAAGGTATGTTTCTAGTGGCAGTAAAGCCTGGAGAGAGCCCCTCTATCCCCAGGGAGGGAGGAGAGCCAGAATGCATGGGGCCTGTCCCTGGTGACCTGACAGTGTCTCTTTTGCATCCAGGTCACCGCATTACGCCTGCCCCGAAGTGATCCGGGTAAGTATGCCTGACCTCTCCTCACCCACCTTGAGCACCCCAGATCCAGCTCCCCTCTCTGGCCCCAAGGGGGATGAGGGTGGCCCATTGTATGGCCTTCCAGACTTAGCCAGTCTTGCACTGGAAAATGCCCAGCACACTCCTGGCCAGTAGCCATCAAGTCTGGGACTGCCTCCTTGGTCAAGTACATGCCAACTTTTGGCCAGCCTTGAACCCCAGCTCTGCATTGTCTCCCAGGGTGAGAAATACGATGGGAGAAAAGCGGACGTGTGGAGCTGTGGGGTCATTCTATTCGCCTTGTTGGTGGTAAGTACCCATCCACCCCCTGGGCCACACATGCCAGGCTTGGTATCCCCCTCCCAAGGGACTGCAGGAATCCACAAGGCCTGGCAGGCAGCTCTAGTGAGCAGCGCCTTGATGGTCAGAGCTGTCCGTGATGCTGCCATTTTTAGTTCCCGGCCAGCCAAGGAGCTAAGGGCAAAGTCGTCTGAGCCAGCTTGTCTCGCCCCACCCAGAGTCCAGCTGGATCCCTTGGCCCCTTCTGGCTGCTTCTGACCCTTCCTGGCCCATCTGGCCCCCTCCTTCTGGGATAGCTGGCTATCCTCCATCCTTGATCTTCAGTCAAGACACCAAACCCTTCCCTCCCTCCTTCTCTCCCTTCCTAGCAGACCTGAGGAACCAGCCAGACAAGGACAGGCATACAGGCATGGGCTTCCATATGAGTCTTGCATACATGGACTCTTCTGCCCAGCGTACCCATTCATCCGTGGCTAGCAGGAGTGGGAGGGGAAGGAGTCCCTTGCTGGGGAGGCTGCACCATCGCCCCCAGAAGGTCCCCTTCCGCAGCCTTTTCCTTCCTCTCCTCTCCCCCCTCCCCTCACCTGGCCTTTTCCCTCCTCCTCTCCCCCCTCTCCTCACGTGGCCTTTTCCCTTCTCCCCTCCCCGCCTCATTGGCCTGTCTGCTGCAGGGGGCTTTGCCTTTCGACGATGACAACCTCCGGCAGCTCCTGGAGAAGGTGAAGCGAGGGGTGTTCCACATGCCGCACTTCATCCCGCCAGACTGTCAGAACCTGCTGCGGGGCATGATTGAAGTTGATGCCTCTAAGAGGTTGACGGTGAGAGGGGGAGAGCCAGGGACCTCGGGCACCCCAGCCTCTGGCAGGCAGTTCCACCCCACCAGCCCACGCCATCCCCTTCCCTTTCCTTCCCAGGCACTAAAGGTGAAGTTAGGACTGACTCGCTGTGCGTGTGCACATGGGTGTACATGGATGCGCACGAACCTGTACCCCTGTGTCTCAGTGTGTGTGCACATGTGTTAGATGCGTGTATGAGAGAGTACATCTATGTATACACGCCTGTGTGTGGTGTGTGCACATATGAACATGACCACACATGTAAGTATGTGTAAACATGCATGCATCCAAGCCCATGTGTATGCCTGTGTCTGTGTGTGCATGTGTGTGTATGTATGTGAGTGAATGAGTGTGTCCTGTGATGAAGGGAGAATGGGGCTGATATGCCTGCCTCGATGTTCACGTCTCCTCTAGGACCTTGAGCCTCCCCAAAGCACCCCCAGTGGGTAGGGCAGAGGCCCGGAGCATCCTCACCTCTAAGGCCACACTCTCACTGCCCCCCTTCTCCCCTTGCCGCCTTCTTCCTCCAAACAGCCTCCTTGAGGCATCACTAACTTTTGTGCTAGAGACAGGCAGTTATGGGCGCTGAGGACCCTTTGTGGTTGACGAGCAGCCCGAGTCACCTATGGGTCCTCCAGCCTGTCATGGGCTCCCCCTGGGACTGCCACTGGCTCAGCTTTGGAGTTGGCATTGACTGGTCTGCCCAGGGAGAGCCTCTCCCACCTCCAGTGATGTACTCCGTCCCCTCAGGATCGGGCAAATGCTCTCTGACAGTAGCCCCTTTGGGACTTTCCTCTGTCCCTCAGAGTCCAGGTCAGAGGAGGCTTCGAGGGGAGTTGCCTTTTCTGCTCTGAGGTTGCTGTCCCTGGGCCTGTTTCCTTCCTGTAGCTGCTCCTTTCTCCCTGCCTTGTTCTATCCCTTAACCCACCTGAGAGGCTGTCACTTCCCTGAGCATGGTCTTTCTATCTGCTGACCTCACTCCCTGGGGGAAAGAAGAGGGAAGGAATCAGAAGGGCAGTTGCTGCAGCCCTGTCCAAGCACGCTGGAAGGCAACCACCAAGTATAGGTGCATCTACTTCAGCTGAAGTCTCCAAGGTGCCTCCCCTAGCTCCTTAGTGGGTTTCCAGGGCTCAGGCTCAGAGAGTGTCTAGCCTAGGAGGTGAGGGGCAGTGCTGGTCAAGGAGGGGCTGTCTTGGACCTCCCCCCCATCCCAGTGTGATCCACAGGCTCCATTGAGCAGGGATGCATCCCTCTCTGCATCTCAGGCTGCACTCGATCCCACACAGCCAGCCTCAGGTTTGTTCTGTGACCAGGGGTCGGGGGGGAATACAGCGTCCTTCCTGTCCCTCCTTTAGAGTCAGAAAGGCCCCTTCCTGGCCCTGAAGCCTAGCGATGGGGCCCTTTGACCAGCACACATTCTCTGGTCGGCTCCCTTTAGCCCTGATATGGAGTGGTGAGGGAAATGGGGGAGACAGTTACTGTGCAGCCCAGGATCAATAAAATGGGCCTCCTGCATATGGATGGAGCTCTCAATCTATCCCTCCATCATCCATCCATCCATCCACCCATTCATCGATCTATCCCTCCATCAGTGAGCACTAATTAAGCTCATTCTGTGTACCTGGCACCATGCTAAGCACTGGGGTACCAAGATAAAGAATAAGATCATGCCTGCTCTCAAGCAGCTTACATTACATTGCTTAATTCTCTCAATCTCTTGGTGTGACCTCGACCTTGGGACCAGGCTGAGGCTCCCCAGAGGACCAAAGCCCAGACCCCAGGTCTCAGGGCACCCACAAGGAGAGTAGCTCAGAAGTCCTGGTTCCAGTTTGTCTCTGTCCTGGTTGCCAGTCCTTTTGTGCCCTCCAGGAGTCACTGTGGACCCCAGCCTCTCCCCTACCCCTACGCTTTTGCATTTTAAGCAGCCTGCCCAGCTGACCCCTCCCTTCTCTCAGTGAGGAGACAGTATTTGGGTCTCCAGGATGGGGCCAGGAAGGAGGTTCCCCAGCTCCCCTCAGTTCCCTGGGCCCTTCTAGGCCCAGGTCTGGTTCCCAGGGGCAGCATCTTGAAAGAAGGCCCAAGAGACTCTGCCCATGCAGGTTGGGGGGTTTGGCCTCACCGTGAACAGACTCACTCCTGCTCTTGCTTCCCACTCTGGGTCTCAGCTTTCTCATCTTTCCAGTGAGAGGCTAGACTAGGTCTCTCAGAGCCCATCCAGTTCTGACGCTCTGCCCTCTTCCCATTAGCACAGCATGGGCCTCAGTCCACCTGCAGCATCCCTCCTGCCCCCACCTAGCCCCACTTCTCCTGCCATACTAACTCCCTGTTTTCTTTCCTTGTAGCTAGAACACATTCAGAAACACATATGGTATATGTAAGTAGCTTCAAAACCCCACTAATCTCCTTCCTTGACTGTGGCTGTGGCCTGGAGGATGTGTGTGCTAGCAAGAGCGGGAGGAGAGCAGGGACCTGTCCAGCTGGGGCAAGTGTCAGGCTGCCAGGGAGCCTGGCCAATGGAACTGGGCCCTTGGGGCCCTGAGAAAGGGAGCCTTGGGGCTCTGCCCTGGGCTGCAGGGGCATGGGCTGGCTTTCCAGCCCAGCCAGCCTGACCTCCTCCCACCTCCCATCCTGGGGGTGAGCCCCCGGGATGGGACACTATCTGTGACAAGCCCTGAAACATTGTGGGAGTGGGAGGGAGGCAGGAAAGGAAGGAAGTACCTAGTCAGGCTGGCTGACTTGAGGAACCAGGATTCCAGGGTGCCCATGGATGGGGGAGGGCTTGAGTCTGAGCCCAGAACACTCCTGCCTAAGTTCACATCCACCATCCTAGCCCTTTGAGGGCAGTCAAGCTCAGAGGTCAGGGCCCCTCTTCCCACCTCCCTGTCCTTTCCCCAGCTGACTCTGTGGGAGGGAGAAATCCAAGTGCTGGAAAGCCCTTGGTGAGTGGACTTTGCTGTCTGTCTGCAGAGGGGGCAAGAATGAGCCAGAGCCAGAGCAGCCCATCCCTCGAAAGGTGCAGATCCGATCCCTTCCATCCCTGGAGGACATCGACCCCGACGTACTGGACAGCATGCACTCTCTAGGCTGCTTCCGAGACAGAAATAAACTCTTACAGGACCTCTTGTCAGAAGAGTGAGTCCAGGGTTAAGGCTGAGGTGGGGAGGGGGATGCTGGAGAGGTCTGGAGCTCACAGAAGGGTCTGGGATTCACTCACAGAAGGGCCTAGGACATCTCTCTTCCCTCCTAGGCCTGTGAGGTCTTCACTCTTCCAGCCCTTTCACTTGCCCACTTGTCCATCCCAAAAGCTTTCAGACTGGAGAAGCAGCTCTCTGGTAGCACCTTCAGGAGTCAATTGCTTCCCTCCTTGGTCCTGGCCAACAGGAAACAAATCCAGTGTTTTCCAAAGGAATGTTTCCTGGCAAATCCAGGGAAATGTTGGGATTACCAAGAGCTAACATGGCCTCCTCAGGGAGTACATCCCTCACCAGCCTATTTTATTTTATCAAGATTCCTAAACTATTAGGTCAGGGGTGGCTGGAGAAACTTACAGATATTTTAGCCAGGCATTTGACCAAGTTTATAGAAGAACGTGGGCTGAGTGATAGCACAGTTGAGTAAGTTCAAAACTGGCCAGAAGATCACACCTCAAGAGTCGTCCCTGATGCTTCCACATGATCTTGAAAGCAGGTCTCCAGTGGGGGGCCCCAGGGCTTTGTGATTGGTCCAGGGCTATTTAATCATTCTCTCACTGACTTACAGAAAGGTGGAAGTGGCCTGATTATTAAATTTTCAGGTGACACCAACCTGCGAGGGAGAGCTGAAAAAAATGGAAGGCAGTCAGGACTGCAAATGATATTGGTAGTCTAGAACATTGAAATTTAATAGGGAAAAAGTCTAAATTAAGAAGGGCAGCTACAATGTGCCAGGCACTGTGCTAAGTGCTGGAGAGATAAATGCAAGCAAAAAAAAAAGTCTGACAGGCCTTGCCCTCAAGGAGCTTACATTCTAATGGCCAGAGATAACATCTAAAAGGGAGCTGGAAAGCTTGAGTGGGGGCTGGGGATGAAGGGTTCTTGTAGAGAGGAAAGTGTGGAAGTCCAGAGAGTCAGAAGCACAGCCAGGAAGAGAATGAAGCATAGCTGTCTCAAAAAAAAAAATCCATATCATAAGCACAAGGTAGGGAAGACATGGCCAGACCCTAATTCATTGGGAAAAGATCTGAAGGCCCTAGGGGACCACAAACTCTCTTTGACTCAACAGTGTGGTATAGCAGTCAAAAGAATCTTCAACTGCATTAAGAGCCTATTGTCAAGCCTAGGGAGATGGCCATTCCACTAGTCTGCCCTGGTCAGACCTCTTCCAGACTTCCAGGCGATCTAGTTGGGGAACCATAGTTTTGAAAGCATATTGATGAGAAGGAGGGTGTCCAGAGGAGGCAGCCAGAATGGGGAAGGTTCAGGTCATATGGGTATTTGTTGAAAGAATGAAGGATTCTGAACCCGTGGAAGAGAAGATGGGGGAGGGGGGAATGAGAGTTGTCTTTGCATATTTTGGACAGTGGGAAAGGGAATAGACTGCTTGATTTGGCCTCAGTGAGCAGAGCCCATAGCAGTGTGGAAAGCCACAAAGAGGTTCGCCTTGATGTCAGAAACATTTCTTTCTTACAATGAGTGGGCTGCCTCAGGAAGCTGTAGCTTTCCAATGCCTGGAGATCTCCAAGCCCAAGGGTGACTGTTGGATGGTCACTGGATGACTACACACTGAGTGGTTGTCAAGACAATACTTGGCCAGGCACAGGATAAAGAAGTCCCTTCCAGTGTGTCGAGGCTGTGATTCCCAAAAGAAGAAAAATGGCAGTGAGCTTGGGAGTGCACAGCCCTACCCTGGCTCACTGACATCTGGCCACCATTTGGTTTGGCCGCTCTTTGGACATGTCATCCTTGTGCCCTGTCTTAGGGGAAGGGGTCAGGCCAGCACCTAATTCCTCAGCCTCAATTCCCAGCCTTTTCCTCAGAAGTAACTTGCTCTTCTCTCCTGTCGGGTCCCAGGCTCTTGTCCATGGTCCTGGCCTGTACTGCCCTCTGCTCTGTGACTACCACATGCACCATAGATTCTCCTTGAGCCGTGAGCCCCTAGACTCCAGAGGAAGAAGGTCCTGCCCTATGTGACCTCCAAGACTCTTCCCTTTGCCTTTTGGTTTTCTTGTAAGGACTTTGGCAAGCTCAATGGCTCTGGCCTAGGGAGGTCCCCTCCCTACCCCAACTTGCTTCTCTCTGCCTTATTCATTTTGCCTAAAGCATAGTCACTAGTTAGTCAGTGATAAGGGGTGGCATTTATGTAGCACCATAGCCCACTGGAACCTTATAACAACCATGTGAGAGAGGAAGCGCAGAGATGAATAGTGTATTTTATAAAAGAGGAAATTTCAGGAGGTGAAGGGCCTGGTATCAGGCTGATGTCATTAAGGTGGTGTCAGAGATGGACTTCCTTACTCCACCCCCAGGCCACTGCTTGCTACAACTCATGCCTCTTGGGTGTTCAGAGCCTGGTGACCAAGGCCAGCCCTTGGGTCTAGCCTCTCTAGCATATTCCTCTGGAGTGCCTCCATCCTCTAGAAATGGAAAAGTCTTCTTCAGACAGGAAACTCAGTGACTCAACAGGATCAAAAGCATGAAGACAAGACAAGACAGGAAGCTGCTATCTCTTCAGTGGAGTGACCTGAAGCTGTGAGATGGGCTGCATTGAGAGGCACAGCTTCCAGAGCTGGGGAGGTGATGGTCACTATGGCCTCTGCCCAGCCATATCCCATGCGAAGCACCATTCGGTCCTGAGTGCCACAACTTAAGGACATTCACAGGATCACAGAATTTGGAGTTGGAAGGGACCCCAACACCCTCTAGTCTCATCGCTTCACAAAGGAATCTCCACTATAAGATACCAGATAGAAGGTCATCCAGCTTCTGCTTGGGAGCTCAAGGAGAGGAAACCCACCACCTCTGGAGGCAGCACATTCCTTGTTGGGACAGCTTTCCAGGCGAGGAAGCTTCTCCTGACACCAAGCCTAAATCTGCCTCTCACTGGCGCACACACCCCTCCACTCCCCCTGCTCCTGGCTCTGCTGTCTGGGGCCAAACCAATCCCTCCTCCACAGCACAGCCCTTTAGACACTGGGAGACAGTTCCCATTTGCCTCCCGGCATTCTCTTCCTCAATTTAAAAGCTTCTAGTTCTTCTAATTAACACTTGTATGTCATGGACTCCAGGTTATCAGTGTCCTTCCTAATCCTTTGGCCTAGAAATAAACCCAGTAGTCTAGACAAGGTCTGACCTAGGGTGAACACAGTGGACAATCACTTCCCTATCCCTGGAAGCTCTGCACATCTTAAGGCAGCCCAAGATCGCATTCAATTCTTGGCTACCAAATCACTCCGCTGACTTACATGGAGCTGACTTATATGGTCAGCTCAGACCCCATATCCTTTCAAAACGCCTGATGCCTATCTGTGACTCCCCCATCTCATTCTGATGGAGTTGGAGTTGGAGGTTTTGTGCTCAAGTGGCTTGCTTGAGCCTTATCCCAGTTTAATCTCATCTTATTAAATCAGCCCAGTGCGCTGGCCAACCTGTCAGGATTCTGGAATCCCGACTAGCTACTCTGTCAGCCAGATCTCGCCCGCCTAGCTTGGTGTCATCATCAGACTTGATGATTATTTCATCTCTGCCTTTATCTGAGTCACTGATTGTGATGTGAAGCAGCTCAGGGCCAAGCAGAGTTCACTGAGGTCCTCCACTGTAGACCTCGTGGCATGATGGCATTGAACAATGAACTTTGAGTCCAACCACCTAGCCAGTTTAAAATCCATATGATTTTATTATCATCTACTTTTTCTCTCTATCTTCTCCATAAGAATGGCATGAGATGATTTCTTCGAAGTTTGGCTAAAACCTGGGTTGACTGTAATGTTCCCCTTGTCAACTGATGAGAAAAGGAAATCCTAGTGGCTTGATCTACTTTGAATGAAGTCATCAACACTGGCTCTTTGTAGTCATGGCTTCCTTGTCATCAGCCATCCTCTTAAAGTTCTGTCCTGGAGTTCTCCCAGAAATCCCAGTCAAGCCCACTGGCCTCTGGTTTGCGGCTCTGTTCTCTCTCCTCTTTTCGGAAAATTAGACAGTTAGCCTCTCTCATTCTCTGTGATGGTCCAAATATCACTGGCAATGACTCAACAATCACATATATTGTCAGTTCATGTTTATCAGGTGACTTGACTCCATCCAGATGCTCTTTCACTGGCTCCTCCCTTATCTTGGGGATCAACTTTTAGTTAATCATTTTTCTTCTGCTATTTCCAGCATATAAGTCATTGTCCTTGGCAGAGAAAACACAAGCACATTAAGAACTGAGCAGCATGGTCTTCTCTGCCATCATCTATCCTTGGCCCACTGATAAGTTGGAGGAAAGTCACCTGGATGGTGATCCCAGTTAGTGCTTCTAGTAGAGAACTAGAAGATTACAGCTGAGGCTGGATCCCTTAAGAAACCCTCTAGCAAAGAGGTGAAGGGGCACCAGATAAGGCAATGAACAATGAAGCCCAAAGGAAACTCCTCCATCCAGAAGCTCATGGGTGCTCAGACCAGAGGCACACCAGGGGGATTAAAGCCAGTGCAGTCTTTGGCAAACAGGGCAAAAAATCAGCAGGATCTTGGCCCTGGACCATCAAGCCACAGCAAAGGAAAAAGCCAGGTCCTAGTGGGTAGTGACCCACTAGGTCACAAGAAGATAGAAGATAGAAGATAGGGCACCTGAGCGGGGCATGAACCCCCAGGGTGTTCTTGAAGACCTGATGTCCATTAGGTGTTGGATATCCTGGAAGGGCTGTTTGAGTCTCAGCAGTTCACAAAGCCCATGGAGCAAGGGGAAGCAGAGAGCAAGGAAGAGATAGAAATGAGGCTGAGGTCAGAGCCCCCAGGAGATAGAAGCAGAAACAAGGGAATGAGCTGAGTTGCAGCTCTCTGTCCTAGACCAAGGTTCCATGCAAGAACAGAGAGAAGCCAGGATTCAGCCACCCCTGCCAGCTCAGCAGCAGCATGCAAACTGCGGCATGAAAAGGACCTCCATCGCACAGTGGGGCA